GCTTGTACTTCGGGAGGAGCTCATTGTCCATGAGCTCCTTCGGTAATTCCGACACTGTTTGAGCATTGTGGGATGGAGCGCTTTCCACTGAAATACAAAGAAACACTTGTTACGCTGATCGCACTATTCACATATACCCACGGAATTAAGAATCCCGATTTTTACGATAATGCGCCCTGATGAACAAGACTCTTCCAAAGTGAAATGGCATTTTGCCCAAGTGACAAATCAACCGGGACTGATTAACAGTCAGACCTGCGTTGCATAGATAGACGCGCTTTGCAGATAAGATAAAATTGTGAGACGTACACAAATGCTCTTTTGTTTTGTTTTTGTGTGAAAATAAGTAGATTATGCGATCCATATTGTGCGAATATTATCAAACATGTAAGAGGCACGAAAATCAAAGCGCTTCAATTATTGCAGGAGATATTTTCCCTTACCCTTTCTGGAAAAGGGATATACGTTTTGAAAGAAAATTTTACTCACTTGTTGGAGAATTGTTGTTATTACCGTTTTCATTTCTCGGTTGTTGTGGCGTGTTAAGCTGAACCGTCGATGAATTGGTTGTATCCGCCTCAGCGGTTTCGCTCGTCACCGAATTGTTCGTATTATTCGCGGTTTGGTTGTTCATATTATTGTTTTGCCTCTTACTATCGACAAAATAATAATTTTACACTCTTGCGTAATCGCGTTTGCGTATCTGTCGACTTGCTATACTTACTTCAGCAGATTGCTTATTATTTGACTGGACAGCCTGGGATCGGTAAACTGCGTTGTCCTGTTATTGTGATCTACGAAGTATACCCGTCCACTTTGGGTCTGCCGCATTTCCCATCCGCCGGGAAGAGGACCAAGCTCGTTCGTCAATTCGTTAGCTTGCAAGTCGCGCGGAATCCTCGGATCGTGCCAAGTGGAAGATCCAGTTGGTACGTGATAGAAATATACTTGACCTTGCTGAGTCTTCCTCATTTCTGCACAAAACGAAAACAATCTTCTTGCTATAGTCGTACATTTTTCCTGAATAATTCATGTTGTATACTGAATATTATTTCAATCGTACCGTAACCACGAGGTAGATCCGAAGGTTGCGGCGGGTCGGTTCGTCTGTCGCTACTCGACATGACGCTATTTCTGTTCCTGTTGCTGCGATTAGGCCTTCGAATTTGACTCCCGCTGTTAAGGCCACGTTCCACCCTTCCGTTTTGATTACCGTTTTGCTCATCGGTTCCTCTGATAACGCGCCGCTCCCTCAAGGACGATGCCGGTGTTGTCGCGTTCCTCACGTTGTGCTGATTCTGACTGCGATTCTGCTGTTGCTGTTGCGTCGGCGTATTTCTCGGGGTATTTTGCGTCGAGTTATCTCGGCTAGGTGTTTGATTCGGCGTGCCATCTCCGCCAGTCCATTCAGGCGACGTATGTTTCGCGGGACTTGCCTCGTTTCTTACGTTCGGTGAGCTCGCGCTACTGCTGGGAGACGTAGGCTCCGACGACGACAACGGCGGTGGTTCCGGTGTCGTCGGTATAATAGCATTGTTAGGCCTATCAAATGACATTACTCGAATAAATTTACATCGTACATAGCGCGTCGTAGGCATTTCGGCACGAGTAGACGTCGAATATTACCGAGCATTCGGACGGATCCATTGCGTGCTCTTCGTGTGGTGATTCACATAGTAAAGTCGACCGCTTTCCGTTCTTCTTTCTTCCCAACCGTCCGGCAAGTCATTCGGGCAGCTCAGGTCTCCGAGCACGTCGACCACGGCGTTATGACCGACTGTATTACTCACGGCGCCGTTATGGCCATCGCGCGACATAAGAGACACGACAATTTGCCCTTTCACAACATCCGTGTCATCGGAATGAGCTTTACATAAGTCCAAACGTTGATCTAAAAGTATATCGCGAGCTAATCTTTACAAACTGCACCGTGTAAGATCGTTTAAAACCGATGTTTATCAAGAAATATATTTCTTGCGAGTAACAAAAATGTGTTTCAAAAGTTTATCTACTTTGGAGCAGTGAGCCAATTTCATTGTATTATAGTTGACATTCTCTATTTTCTCGCCGAAATGAGGAAATATTTATTATTCGATTTTTACTCGCCAGTGTCAGTCAGCTATTTTAAAATTTGATAACCCTGTTGATGCTTGAAATTTCAACGTAAAAATTTCACTGAAAATAACTAGAAATTACAATATTTAAGGAAATTTAATTCGAGTTTTTATTTCAATTTTTCCGCAAGTACTGCATCCTAGACGCGAGATGCTATCGCGTATCTTTGTCATTAAATAAGAATAAAATCTAGTAACATACTATGAAAAGTGTAATATAAAGTACATACATCCTGTATCCTTAAGTCTTTGGATAGTATTTGATAATATGCGTACACATCCTAGAAACCCTCCGTTCTGTTTTTTATGGAATTTTTTATAATTCCACACAGATATGGTGATTCCATCGTTCTTTCCAATGTATCTGCAAGTAACAGTTATTTGTATTTCTTACGCACTTTTATGTTAAACTTCTCTATACTCGTAAAGAAATACTCACAGATCGTAGTGTTGATTCCATTTAGGATCAAGAGTAGCTTTGCAAGTATCTGTACTGTGACACTGTCCAGAACCTTCGACAGTTATTTTCGCGAAAGGATCGGGTAAGCCTAAAAAGTAATCGTTTTCAAATCGCCTTTATTCATATCTCTGCGAGCTGCGAGCTCTTTGCGGAAAAAAAGTACTCACGAAATAAGTCCTTCCTGGCGAGATTGCGGGCGCATAAAACTAAAACGTATGTAATCATTAGGTAAATACATTTTCACGCGCAAACTGATGTCTTAATAAAGAGCTTCTAGCTCTTTCTTTTTCTACCGTATGCGAATGAATTGCGATATATAATTTAGAAAATTAATCATATGCTATTTCTACGTTCCACATTATTATCTAATCAGATAGGTTTTATAAAATAATTTGATGGCAGATTTGTACTGGCTGATTTCTACTCTCTTCTAATATCTTCTAGTCGCACCCAGTGAGAAATGATAATTGAAAAGATGTCGAGTTGATACCAAATCGATATGCGTCGAATAGATTTGTCGATTCGATATCTTTTCAAATATCATTTCTTACCGGTTTCCATTTCGAGCTTATTACTTATTTACAACATTCTCTCAACGCATTGCGGCTAATGTGATGATATCATATGATTCTCTCTGCTATTATGACAAAATTGATTCGAACTTAAATATGAGTAATGTTATAACTCATGCTAAATATCGTTAACGATGATCGAATAGGCTTTCTAAAGAATAAAAGAGAAACGGCCGGATATTGATAATAAAACTAGTCGAAAAGATGGTGTTAGCTAAAAATGGGGCCTTGTTAAGGGCATTGCGATTGAATGACACATGAAATGGTCTTGACGACCGTCCGGAATTAGCGTCTTCTCCCGGAGAGTGCTCGCGGTGGGGTCTCGAGTTAGCTTCGCGACCGGAGGACGAGAAGGAGCACGACGGAGGTCGCGTTTCTCTACCTGGAGCACGCGGGACTCCCCCGGGGGACCAAGTGGACCGAGTGACTTGACGTTCGCGCGTCGCTCGTCCCGTAACCCCCTCCTCCCCCGCGCGCGGAAGAACGCGGCGTGTTGGATAACGTAAAACAAAAACAGGCCGACGTGCGTGGGCAGGTCGTGCGTGCGAGCCGCGGTTTGCCCCCCCGCGACTTTCACACTCGACGAGACGCACGACGCCCGAGGAAGAGTATTACGGTCGTCGCACTCACTCGTCAGGCGAATCTTCATGGCCCCGTTCCTCCTGCTACCGCCCGGGTTCGCCATCCTGCACGCACATTTAACGCTCCGGACCGCGCATCGGCGCCGTAATTGGCAAATAATGCGAGGGCTGCTCTCCCCTGCCAAGAGAACGCGCGACGGCGACGGTGTTCGCTGTTCGCCCGCACCACGCACACATACACATATACGGGTACATACGAACGGCGCGTGCGAACGGTGTCTCGTCGAACGCACTATCGACTTGGAACCGCCGGTCGATTCTCGGAGCAGACCGAGATATCACGTAACGATCCACGCAATGTAATTTTAAGTACTCTACGTCGTAGACCGTAAATTAATTAATTGTTGGATGGAATATAATATGGATCTTTAAACTGGAAAAAATACAATTAAGTTGGAGGAAGTGAGAAAAGGGAAATGTTTTCGACCAAGGCCGCTCTAGTTGCTTTGTCTCGATATATCGAACTGGTATCGTGCCTGCTGGTCGCGTCGCTTCTGCATAGGGAACGTTCAGCTGTCCGCATTGGAGAACGAAGCTATTCACTAGAAACGAATATTCACTAGGAATTGAAAATGAAAGAACGACTTGTACTTCATCTTTTTAAGCATTTCAAATTTCTTGGCGTTTTCTGTTGACAAATTAAATATGTTTACTCTTAGTAAAAAAGAACTAATTTAATCAGTAATTAATTTAAATAGTGATTAATTTATTTATTTAAATTAATCAGTGGTTAATTTAATAAAGATCAATCGGAATGAAATTTGACATAGTCGCCCTAAGGGGAAGATTAACTTTATTGATTAGTTCAACAGCACAATTATGCTTGAAGTAAAATTTTAGTCTGTACAATTCTCGCGTCGTCTCTAATTTAATTTTTTTCAAGCAATAACATAAAAATTAAGAATTCTAATCATGTTATAAAAATTCTGCAAGTATTGCTTAATAAGTTAATCGTGGATTAAAATGAAATTTGATTAAAATTACCTTGAGAATGTTTTTCCGAAATTTGCTTGTACAGATTCGAACGAAAGTTGCGTCATATAAAACTTCCGGTATTTAATTATGTAACATCGCGTTTGGTTTGTACAACTCGATAACGAGTGAGCCATTTGTAAATATTTTCGCTTTTTTCGACGAGCGCGTACGCGTACACATACGTAAGAAGGAAGCGTCAAGGGAACGGCAGGTACGGACGATGCAAAAACGTGCCCGATTTTTTTGTTGATAATTTTCCTTTATTGATGAAGTCTTAGCGTAAAAAGGTACAAATCAAAGATAAATATTTCGCGAATACTCGTGAAAGGACGGCGGACACAATGAATTTATTCAGCGCCGAGATACAATCAAATGACCTCGTATATAAAAACGTGTCATGATGTTATCATCCCTTTTCTTATTATTATCGCTGCTTGTCAAATCTCAGAATAGCATGGCTTAAACTTATGAGTGCGATATCAGTACAATTATTAATGATTATGATACCAACTGGCCTGCTTCTACGAAGGGACTGCCGTTTATTAAAATTAACACACATATTATGTGTATATATATATATATATGTATAATATGCAAGTATGTATCAATGTCATGCGATCCCTGCACGTTTTGTACTATCATCGGTCATATATCGTCGCGAAGTCACGTTTACACTCGAGAGCTTGATTTAGACAGCTCAGAAAATTTTCTTTATGAGAGAACGTGTCTTGCAAATATCTTATCATCGTTCAATTTCTAAAGGTTTTAAATCGGAATCTTGGCAAGTTTAAGCGAGTTAAAGAAACGTCGGATCGTTTGCGATGGAACAGACACTTCGCATCGAATAGCAAGACAAATGGCACAAGTCGTGAATTTCACGAAGCTTCTTAACTCGTGCTTCGCATAATTCAAAGAAATCGGCGGAACTTCGCGACGCCGCATGTGTGATTCGCGTTCGCGACTACACTTGGCTACCCGGCTGAAAAGAAAGTTTCCTTCGGGGGAAACTCTTTGGCAGTATCCAACCCCTTACAGATTAGAAAAGTTTTCCGTCGATCGCGGAATGTGATTAACACCGATTGCCGGCCGTGCAGTCCCCCGTTGTACTTAAAAGCGACTCAGATCTCAATTCTCTCCCCGAAAAGTGAGGAAGGCGTCCACAAGGAACACGATGCCCTCGATAATACTGAGAGAACCTTTGGCCAAGCCGGTATCGCGAAACGATGACTTGTGCGCCATCTTTTGAAAGAAGTCAATGTTGAGAGAGCCCGCGGCGATGAACAAGGCGCATCCAATGAGCGAGAAGAAGAGATCCTAAAAAAAATAAGAAATCGCATTTAATAAAAATCCGCACTGTACGCTATAATGCCCTCCTATTTGTAAACCTACTAATGCATTTTCATTTATACGTTTATCCTGCATTAATATAATCTTTATTACGTGCATATCAAATTATCATTAATTTAAATATACAAACACAGCTTCTTAAAATTTTTTTTAGTTCTCTTAGATCTCTCGAGCTTTGGTTCTCAAATTTTCTATGCATTTTTATATTCGATTTACGTATAATTCTATATTGCGATGTCTGTCTGGCGAAAAATCTGTCCTGTTATATATCTATTGTATTAAAACATACCACGCGGCGGTTCACCGGCGTTCCCATCACGCTGCCGATAAACAGGCCGACCAGAATAATCAGATATCCCCCAAAGGTGCCCATGGTGATCATCGCGGTATGTTGATCTCCCGCATTGAAGGAGTTGTAGTGCAAACCGATAAGGATGCACACCAAGAGCTGTGATCAGAAATACACATTTAATGGGCGAAAATGTGTTCAGCCTACGCGCTGCCTTCTCTTTTTTCCCTTGAGAACAAAGCTTTATTGGAAGTAAAACTTTATCGCACGATAATCTCCCTCAATAATCTATCACTTTTATCGCTCATATGAAAACTGCAGTTTTGTTTTGTTATAAAAGTATAGGTACAAATAACGTCCATGAAACTGGGTCGATCTGGGGAGAGTCGACTCTCTTTCGATTCCATTATAAATAAAATATTGTCCGCTACTGTCTCAGTTGGCAACTTTTTATTTCGAGACAAAACGTTGTAAATGTCACCATTTGATATAGTCCATCGAATTATTAACATAGTTAGAAACAAGTCCATCTACTTCGAAATACGTCGACACCTATAACTAGCAAAATTCCGCGATTAGCGGTAAATTTTAAAACTGTTCTCAATAATTAATGAAGTACAATCATGCGAAAACAACATATGAATTTAAATTCTTTATTCGACAAGAAAAAGAGTCGACTTTTATCTCCATAATATATAATATTTCTTATGATAATATTTAATAACTATACATAAGGGATTAAATAATAATACAGATTATAGCTTTGGCTAATTGGCCGGCAACGGCAGCCGGAAAATAGAAAAATGTGAGCGAGGAATGTAGAATAAATTTATGGGCGTTTTATTTCGCAATTACATAATTTTCATCTCGAAGTCATCCGAGGCGTCACCATTAAAATTGCACCGGTCGGCCTTGGCGCGATGAACACATTCGCCTGACGCCGAATACAGTGTATCTCGAAGAATCCCGGGCTTGGTCACCCACGTGTCGATAAGCACGCGATACGTCGCATCGACTACAGCCCAGAGCTGTAGTATTCGTCACTAGGGAGTGACATTATTCTAAGATACGGTACATATCAGCAATATAAATATGTACCGTAAGCGTGTATCAAGAAAGTGCATGCATATATTTGTATTGTAACATTTTATTTTGTGCTGAGCAAGCGTCATTATATTTTGCATTAATTCAACATAATGTTGTGTACTAATAATATTTATTACTTTTTAATACTATGCCGTTCGCTGACAAATTAATGCAAACACATTGTTACGTAGCTCGTCGACATATAAATCAAAATATTTTCGGTTTTTTTAGCTAAAAAATAATTGCGAAGTAACGTTGTTACGATGAATTTACCAAGAAATGAAACGAAAGAACGGAGCTAAAATTTTATTTGGGAAACAGCAGGCGTAAAATATCGCGGACATATAACGTTAAGAGTCAGCGTTAATTTGTAAACAAAGCTAGATAAACGTGTGTGTTCAGCGAGATAAATGTTAGCTGGACAGCTGTGTTCTTAAAAACCCGGCTGTTCTGATTTTTATGAAATGACGCGTTTTTGGCTATTTTATATATTTTTAATGTTGTATTAACTTCAATTAACGCGGGATGAAGTACACGGTCATCAAAGAACAGTTATCGAAATTTAGCGTACAATTTTCTACCGCGTACAAATGCAGCTTAAAGGCTTAAACGAAAGGCTTCTCACGTAGGTCCCGAAGAATCCTAACGGAAGTCGATCGGTACGAGAGACTTCCGGGCGACTTGAAGCGAACCGTAATAAGAAGAGAGCGAACGCTCTTGTGCGGTAATCAGCGCCGATTATGTCACTCTCCATTCTCGCCGCCTTACGAGTCACGAAAGATATGCAGCGCGGAATGTCGCGCAACCAACAATACCCAGGCTTGGAGACGAACGCTGATTTTCTCGAAAATGCGATTGGAGTCGCGATGAACGCGAGCAGCGCGAGAAATTGGATCAATCGATTGGAAGAAACAGCGCAGTAACGTTAAAAATAAATTCGAGGGCATGGTGGTGCTCTTAAGGAGTATGAGGCGACCTCGTGTATAGTGTTTCTCTTGCGGCTGGAAATGCGTGCGCGAGAAACGCTGATAGGTTTATGTAGCTCGAACCTTGCACTTTCTCGAGAATCTAGTTCTCCGCGCAATTTCGAATGCTAAGGATAGACGAGCTCGTTAGAGCAATCTATTCTTCTAGTTTGCAAAAGACATATATTATGTATGCGTTTCCGGTTATGTTAATTAATGTTTTGTAATATGACATCACACGGTTGAGCTTTGTGCGTTGAAAGAAAACCTGATTCACCATGTTCGTAATTTTTGTTCTCGCTTACGACGTTACATAGAATCGGTATTTGAATAACTACATAATAGAATTTACGGTGTAATTTATCACTGAAACTGTACATGCCGTACATTGATGTGTCATTTGCACTACTTCACAAAGATGAAATAATGCTAGGCTTAAAATTCAAACCTGATCCGACAATGTTGCGATAAATAATTAAAGATATATAATCATTAATATACTTACGAGCTCAAGGAATTTTATGATCGACAGCCTCGTGATGGTAGCCATTTCGTCTGATCTATAAATAGCCAAGAAACAATATAGAAGTTAGTTAATCGTGTGTGTAATTTAAAATAAGTAAGTAAGAATACTTTTCCGCTTGTCAAGAAACGTCCAGATCAAATTTATAAAATGCACGATATATGAATTACGATTACGTGTACCATTGATGGACCTCGAAAAATTCACCGCATATAAATGCAAATACAACGACTATAACCACGGAATGTAAGTCGTATGAAAACGTAATGAAGGTAAAGAGGAATGGAGACACGACAATCGATATAATAGTACCACAGTCGTATAAACGACATCGGAAATGCATAGTGCTAAAGTACAATAATGCGAGCCTCTTTTACCGAGGAAGGCATAAACATATTGTAGAATAGTAATACATTGTTCAACGAGATATACGACCAATGCACACGTCTGGTAAACTCCCGCGAAAAGCGATTACACTTTGCGAGTGTGCATATATAAATACGTACATGACAAACAATTGAGGGGAAAATACAAATCTTTTTATTTTATATAAAATTGGCAAACGGCCGCGCGACTAGCGGGCCGAAATTTTCTGTTACTTCTGCTATAGAGTTAAACACGCAATGTTTGGTTCATCCGATTTTATCGTGAAAAGCCCCATTTATTATACGCCTGAACGAAAATTGTTCTTGTAATTAACAATAGCGCAAGCACTATAATCTTACATTTATATTTTAGCAAAAAAGCGGAAGACACGCAGCATTACAACAAATTGTGTGCCCGTGTCTACGATGATATGTCGTGACTACGGTGACCTTAATATATCATCGTGACATTTATTACTATTTTAATGACTGCTAGTCTAAATTCAACTCTTTGATCCTCTCCGTGGGTTCTTAACTTGTGTGTTGACAGTTTTATATATATTTTACTTGCCTCCTCACGCAGAAATTATTTGTAGCAAATTCAACTATTTCCTCGCGTGATAAAAATTTTATGCTTTAGTATTGAATGTAACATATATATTATATAATATGTATACATAGTGCAAATTATTTTATCAATAACATACTGAAAAAACAAAGCTATCGAAAGAAACACGAAATCGTGGCACCGAAACTTAATATTATAACAACCAGATCGCGTGCTATATTTAGATATATGTATCAGATGAGACAGACGCTGCTCACAGAGTTCGGAACTTTTCCCAGAGGGGGAAAATGCAGGGGAATTGATAAATCGTGATATAATTAAATCGCAATTTAAAATTTAATCAATAATGTGGTAATGCGGAGATATTGCTTTGCGGCATCATGTCAATTGCCGTAGGCAAATATTGTGCATGCCTAATTGCACTAATACAAACTTTACGTCATCTCTCGTTGGATGACTCGAGCGGGTCGGCACGTATGACGACCATGACATACCCAAGATGGATAGAATGCAACAAAACTAGAAATAGCGCGATGTGTGTCCTGCATGCTTATCGTCATTGAGCAAGAAGCACTTAGTCAGTAATGTCGAGCTTTGCGATGAAATTGTTTAATCGCAGCTGCTTAAGACCCGGTTTCACCAAACGTCACTTAACTTTAATCTTAGTTTAATTCATGTTTATCTCTTTCTAAAATAACAGTTGGGAAGAGATAAAGAACGAATTAAGCTAAGTTTAAAGTTAAACAACGTTGGTGAAACCGGACCTAAATCATCAAAGTGAAATTGATATAGCGAAGTTTCATAAATAATTTTTACATGAATCACGGTTAAAGGAAATGTTATCTCTGTGGGAATAAATGGATACGGAAGCAATGATATGTCATATATTTTTATATATATGATCTTATGAATTTTATATTGAAAGCTCATAAATAATTAAATTCGCCCGTGTATTTGTAAAGATGAAGGGACATTTATTTTAAGACATTTAGAATCTATATAAGGATTATTTTAAGAGAAAATCTAAAACTCCAAAAATTTTTAATCGTGAAAGCAATAGAAAATTATTAATATGGAGATTCAACAATTAATACAAGATTTAGTAGTGGGACTGTGAACAGTTATAAGTCAAAATAAAGATATAAATTATTTAGCTTGTTTATTCTCTGTGATGTCGAACATCTGACATGGATAACAAGATCTCATTATTAGTTGCAATAACCTGCGATTTTTCGAATGAGTACACGACATAAATTAAACGTTGAGAAGTAAATCGCGGTCATATAACGCATGGGAGGGGAAACGCATTTTTTACACCGAAAAGGAAGACACTTTCACGACTGCCTTGACTCCGTTTTTATAATTTCTTTCAGACTCTCTTTCCCTTTAGAGGCTATGCTTTTTCGAAAACTTTATCGAAATAAAGATACATATAAATAATTTTAAAAATACTTACAAAAATCATAAAAACAAAATGTGAGATTATTAAATTTTACTATTTCTACAATCGTAATCATTTTTAATACATCTCTTGTATCTTTTATATTTCTAACCTTTTACATTTCTATTTTATTTCACAAATGATTATTTTGTAACGGATAATTGCATTGCAAATTTAAGAAACAAAATTGTGTATGTAATGTTCCAAAACGTTTTAATTTACACTTTGATGACACACAATATGACGCTAATTTATATCTCTTCATTCTTAAAGTCTGCATATCTCTTCTTACATTTTGTAACTGATATCGATTAAATAATATCGTACTGCGTAAATTGTACATGTGCGATTTTGTCAAAGTTCACATACTTATTTTCTACACAAATTGCATCACTAGATAAAAACACGTCATTTTGCATGACATCACTCGCGTTAGTTGATAACAAAAATTGACGTTTTAACCAAAATATTATAGTTCTCTTTTAATACACATATATATTTTTTATTATTATTTATTTATTATAAATTATTATATATTTTGTATATATACACAAAGATGTTTCCTTTAAAATATTTTCGAAACTAGCAATTGGGTTTTAACATTTAGTTTTACAATTGATAATATCCTCTATCTTTCCGTAATATTTTATAATTTGCGATAATTTTCGTGCATTTGTGCACAGCGAAGCAACGCGTCTCGCTTCTTATTCTAATATCTTACTCCAACCGGTCAAGGCTAGTCAGCTCACAAACCAGCACACAAAAGAATAGCACGGACAAAGAACTTGAAGCGGGCGTTGGGAGTGTCTTAAACCAGCGTCGATATTAGCGGTCCCATAATATTCTCGATTTGCAAAAAACGCGAAAAAAGACTCCCAATTCCATTCATTCACGAATCAGGCGTCTACGGCGTCGTGTAGAGCGTACTTACGTGTTCACGCTTTCGATTCACCGGACGGTAGCTGCTCGCGAGACGAGGGTTCAACGACGACTGATGCTGAAGACCAACCACGCATTGTGGAGGCGCGTCAGCCAGCCTCGATTTTTACGATCGACGGAAACACGCCGACTTTTACATCATGGTGTTCACGCATCGGGCGAGCACAGACGCTACGGTCCAGTGGCGCTCATTTTAGCCGTGAATCCGCTTGACGGATGTTGCCATAAGTTGACGTTTTGTCACGGTTTTTTAATGTAGAACGAAATTAAAGTACGATTAGCAAGACGACGTGGTCGACAAAATGACAAAGTCGCGTGCGCGAAAGCGTTAAGACTCACACAAGCTGAAGAAATTGCATCGCGTCCTTTGGGGACGTGCTCATCTATTTTCGTAAACCTTTGTTTGAAGCTCAATTAACTTTAATTAACATTTGTATATGGAGGGGAAAATGTACGAAGCGTGTTAATAAAGAGATAAATAGAAGTTCCTTCAATATCATTTCAAGAGGATTAAATATGAAAATAGTCTCAAGTATATATTTTTAAAGCATTATTTTTTTATTACAAAAATTCTACATATTACATTAAGTTGTACTTTAAATGCTCGAATAATTATTTATACAAATATAATACATATTAGAGACATCTTTAAATACCTAAAGCATATTTGTAATATGTTTCTAGAGTTTTAAGGTCTTATTTTGATAATTGCACCGCTTTTTCAAGCTTATTCTATCAGTCACGAAAATTCTAATGTTCCCAGACATTTCTCCAATTAATTTAAACGCGTTACCTTATTACACATTTAATTTAAATCTCGTTACACAATTTGCGATAATCACAAACATGTTAATTTACAAATAGTACATTGTTGTTTAGTCAGCTGCCCGACTTCTCGTTTTTTTATCGCAGACACAAATGTAGCATTTAATAATCGCTTGCTTTTTTGCAATGACGTAATTACGACGAGATATCATCTGTAGAATAAAAAAGAATCCAGGAATCGGATAGTGACTCGAGGATTACGTCGATTCTACACCTCGAACGTGACATCATATCATTCGCTACGCGATGACGTTACATATCGATTTTAAAAAAACCGTGAAAAATGCGAGACTATGGCGAATTTCGTTTTACTTCGAATAACTTCCATTATAAAAGAAAGTTTCTTGTATCAATGTTTTAATTGTAACATTAAATATAAAAATGAAAAATTTTAATTAAAATTTAATTAAAATTCTATAAAATTGAAGACTCCTCGAATTTTAATGACGTACAGAATTTTTTTTATCTCAGAACTTTAATTTCAGGACACTTGATAGTGCCTTTGAAAATCAACTCCGCATTATTCGAGGCTTGAAATTTTCAAGTTTTTCTTTTCGGACGCCGTGTAAATCAGCGATCGGTGTGTAAGCGTATGTAACGAGATTCATCTGTTGCCCGATGGGAGCACACGCATTCTTCAGCATGTATCTACTAGCCACGTGCAAAGGATACGGCTGGCGTAGTACGAGTTTCTCGAAATACCCCATATGCCTGCTTAAAGTCTACCCCGCACACCAATGTCCAACTCACGTTACGTTTTCGTCGTCTTTATTTCCGCCGCCGCTCTTCCACACCCACCCACACACACACACACACACATACACATACACACACACGCGCGCGCGCCCGCGCGCGTACACACGGGCACACACGCACACACGCACACATGGATGCATCTGTACGCTGCCAGCAAATTACCCACGACCGTTCGCGTTCGCGTTCATTAGCCTCCTTTCGCCGGTTACTTGCGATACAACACACCGTTTTCGCCGAGTCCTCGCGACACGCCCGCCGTGAATTTCGCTGGATATAAAAGGGTCTTTACGATCTTACGAAGGGTCTTACGAAGGGATATTACGATCAGACATAGCCCACAGATGTCTGAGTTGAGAGCAATTAAAGCATGTTAAATTATCAACATCAATATTAAAGAGATAACAACTAAGCAAGAAAAATTATGGAGTCTCTCGCTGAATTCGACATGAGCGATCGCGTTCATATAAAATTCTTTTTGTAGAAATGTATTCTTCATTACGCAGGAAATAAATTTACAAGAAATATTAACGCAATATTAAATGCACACATATTGCTGATATGATAATCAGTTGAGGTAATGATATATAATATAGATTTCTTTAGAATGATTCAATCATTCAGAAAGTTCTTAATACACGTATATGAGTAATTCTTTATCGATATGAGTCATTTCCACGGAAAATATTACATTGGCATTAGAAACTTATCATCGTAATTCCACGGAAATAACCACATTATTAATTTAACAGGTTCAAAATATGATTGCATAAAATACTTTAAGCGTAAAGATTTGATTAAAAATATATATAAATAAATAGTTATGGCATAAATATACATTTTCTCGTCATTGTTATCTATCTCTCTGTCAGTTGACTATGACTTATCGAAAAAAAAAATTATTGATAGAACAATTGTTCTTAATAAAATTAATTGCGTGAGCAAATGAGCGAAAAAATGTATTTATTTTGTGCACGGCTTGGGTTTGTTACAAATTGGCTGTTTTATTCGCGGAGCTGAATAGCTTTACTCGTTACCATTGCCGAGTCTCTCAAGATGGCGTAATGGATGCCTGTTCAACACACCTTCAGAAGAATAATGGCGAGAGCGATGTACCAGCAATCGCTATTCTTAATATGTTTTATAAATAATTAAACGATACAAAAATTCCAGGCATCACATGACGTGAATTACTTGGAACTCGTGCTTTGGTTTACATTCCATTTTCACTTTAACATAATTGTACCAGTCGACGAAGCAGCAATAAAGTATCAGCTCGTCGTCCATATCCTAAGGGAAAAATAAATTTTTTCGGTTTTTTATTCCAAATTAGATGAAAATTGCCGAACTCTATCTCTCCCAGAAGAATCTTTCTCAATATTGACATAACCGTCTTTCTGTATGTTAATATGTTCTTTTTTTAATGCACAAAGTATACTGTACATCTTCGTTGAAATTCTTCAAGTTAGAAATCGTTTTACTGATCATTGGATAACCTTAGAACTAGAACGACCAATGTCATGGATTCTATAGACCGAAAATAGAATCCTTATTCTACATCTGAACACAGAACACTCCTTTTTTTTATTCAGCACCGGAAGACATGGCCTGTTTCAAGATCCAAGGTGTCGATAGAATTGTGAATGAATGGTAAATTCTCGGATCATTCTTACGGCACTATCGGCGATCGCGGCGAGGGTGGTTAACTCTTTCAGGGTAGGAATCGGTGCCAGTTCTCCAATCCCGGAATCGCGTTCGCCGATCTTTCCTTCTATTATGGAATGATCAGTCTCGTCGGTGTCTACGCTAGAACTTGAACTTTGCGTATCATCCGACACATTTGTGTCTCGTTCCTTGCAAATCTAAAACCGCAAACACTTACATTCTATAGTTCAAGAAAAACTTAAAAAATTATGTTGAGTGCAAATTATCTAAACTACGATTCTAAAATAAAATAAATAATATTGATATTTTTATTTATTCTCAACTTCTCTAAAAAGTTGTATTATTTTTTTGAAGAATCTCAATCAGTGAATAATTGTAACTTATAAATCTTATAATCTATATAAATTTTTATAAAACGTCACGTTTAACAGAAATATATTATGAATAAAACTAATGAGTTTAAAAGAAAAATGCTCACGCACCCACTGCCACTCGAAAAGGTCGAAAAGGATCCACGCTTGAATTAGATATAAACTCATAACAAAGATCGATAATATGCACATTACAAAGTTATGAATGAAGATAGGGTGCTCCAATATTTCTTCGTCAGTAAATTCGGTAACGTCAATGTACATGTCGGCGTGTTTCATCTCCATTATTCCCGTCACAAGCATCAGAATAGCTCCCGACGCGCATATTGTGAAAGGCTTGCAGGTTAATTTTCAAACGCATAATTATTTAATGCGGATTCGCGTTAAAATATTGTCTATTATATTGCATCTGTATTGGGACAAGTTTCTGCAGATCTTGAAATATTAGACACGTATATGTTGGGATAAATGAAAGTCATTTTATCAGCAGTAAGACAAGATTCACTATTATAATAGAGAGAACTTGAATTGTGCCTTAGTATTACAAAGACATTTCAGATTTTTAAACTGCATCAAAAGTTATAACGTAAGAGTTGTAATCCATCGTTAAGACATGTCGCATATATTTCATAGATCTTTGCAAGTATTTGTAAGGAGGGGATTTACTATCAGAGGTCTATCGGGAAGAATCTTTTCAACAAGCCAAAGGATCATAAGAACAAGGCTCAGCGCCATGCAAATGGGATACACGAAGAAAATGGGGTTTCTTTCCTCCGGCAACAATGGGACTGTATCATCCTTTTCTCGCGCAAGTTTATTCACATAGTGATGCACATGATGGAAAACTTCGATAGCCGACGTGCTCACCTAAAAAGATTTTCTGTCGTAATATTTACGGCATGCTTAACATATGTATAAGAATACTCTTAGCAGTAAAAATAAATATAACGCAGCAATCTCTCTTTCTCTTAATAATAATATAAAAATATATATGCATATGACATAAATATAGATTACGAGAAGAAAGCAACGTGATAAGAAAAAGAAACTCTGCAAGCTGCAGTTTCGCTCTAAGATATTCTCGGATAGAGCTCATGCACGTAAGAGGAACAAGGAACGAGAAATTAAACATAAGGGTTTAGGAATAATGGAGAATTAAATCTCGACCTATGGATAGCCAAGAATTAAAAACTCCTTCTTTCTTTATTGAAAACATGTGTGACTTTGTATGCGTCGAAATTTAATTCCCTATTTCTAATTCCCTATATTTGATTCTTTGCTCCTTATTCCCCTCATTGTGCACAAGTCCATATTTGCTTGTGTGTGAATTATGTTAACGGGGCTCTGAGCAGGTTTCCACCGATCGTGACAAAGCCGTCAGTTGAAATAGAACGCGGGTAATCGAGCACTGCGGGAAGCCGCCGGTTTTCTTCCTGAAGCGATTAGAATTCGCGGGGTACACGCGTCGGCACGCGTGCTCATGCGTAAATACGTCCGATGCGTGTCCGATCCTCGACGCACATGTCGTATCCGATTACATAATAAAAATATCAATGTCACTATTATCGTTGCACTGAATCACGGCGCGACGGCGAGAAATCTCCGATCGAAAAACCGGGACGGTCGTATTGTTTCCAGCATAAAATTATTTTATCTTGAGATAGAGGCACGTAACACGACAGCGATATACTATGTTATTACGTGTCATGTTTTTTTATCGCACAAAGGAGACGATGATGAAATATTATGTTCCTCTTTATTTTGTACGTGTGCGAAAATATTTTTAGATTTGCTCCACCTAGACCTGAACGTTTCGATAATATATAAGAATAGATTCCGAATAACCAATCGAATTATTCATTATTTCTTGCAATACAAGCGCGCGTATATCTTTTGATACACTTTTAATTTTTATATACTGAAGATAGGACGATTATTTCTTACTGTCGACGTAATTTCTCTCGGCGGAATAACATTTTGCACATATGAGAGGATTAAGTTACGAGCAAAGTAAATTTTTCGATTCCTTACAAATTGAACAAAGTGTAGACTGGCGTGCACGACATGCGAAAGATCCGTTCTTCTCTTAAACTTTCTTTCACCGCTGTGATATACAGCTGCAAGCTTAGCAATTTCTTGGAGCCTGCGAAGCTCCAGCTCAGCTTCATCCTGCCTAATCGATTCCCTATTTTCGGCTTGACTCACCATTAAGTCCTTAATTATTAACTCAAATTGTCGGCAGATTCCCTTGTCAGTGTAACCTAAATGCAGCGACTGAACATGACATTTCTGAATTATCTAACAAATGAACAATGACAGGCATGACACCCGTAATTAATTTATGCCAATTAAATTGTCCCCGTCAAGAATACAAACAGAAAATCAATTAGATCTCAGTTAAAATTACTCGGCGCTAATAAAACCAGTTCTTAGATAATTTAGGTAGGTAGATGCAGTGTAGGAATTATGCAATGAACATAAAATATGTGATTGCATAATTAAATAACTTTTCTTCATAGCAACAACACTCTGTCTATAAGGATTCAATTTTTATAATATTTTTAAGTATCGATTTCAATTCAATAATAGTCTTTCTGTTTAACTAATATCTCGAGAGAAAAATTATTGTTTCTCTGCGAGGAGATGGAACAAATGGCGGCAATTGTCCCGAATGATGGGTGCGCTAACTTCTTCATCTGCTTCATCTCCATATTCATCTCTGTCAGATAGTTTAAAGACCGACGTACATCATTCTCGTTTGATACGACAGATCCATACGTTCGGTTTGCATTAGGAACCGCGTTAAGTCAGCAGGCAGATAGTTTTCTCTTCCTAGTTTTATCTCGCCTTTTTGCTA